GTCCTCTCCTGCCTCCCTCACTTCCTGTGGGTCGGTGAGGGAGATCTTTGATCACACCCGGCACACCCCGTGCGCAAGCCTATGGGAGTAGGTGAATATTTCTAAGTACTGAATTGCATCAGAATTGCAAAATTCAGGTTAAATAGCCATAGTAAATTAAACAATCCAGTTTGTCAGTTTACAAATTGCAGTTCAGCTACTGGTTCTGTTGTTTGAAATTACAACTTTTATTCAGGGAGAATCTGTGAAAAATAAAGCTGTTTTTCAGTATAATGTACAGTAATTCAGCTACTTAGCCCACTGAACTGAAACCTAATTACTCCCACGTGTACTATGTCAGGAGCAGAGTCAGTATTTCAAGTTCACTACCTCTTGAGATAGGTAACCAGAATACTCCACACACCACATACCTCTTGACTGCAAGCACGGCATAAATAATAAATGAGCAAAAAAAACAAACTACTCAAAAGCTAAAAGGTCGCAACATCAACAAAAACAATAAATGAAGATTACTAGTGGCTTTTTGATGTTTAAGCAAAGTTTTCACTTTTAGAATTGTATGTATATGACACATTTTAAATGTTAGATTGTTTTCTTATATTTTTAAGCTATTAGATGAAGAACGATTCCAGGACATTGAAAAAATTAAAACTATTGGAAGCACATACATGGCAGTGTCTGGACTTTCACCGGAGAAACAGGTATTCACGTTCAATCGATCCATTTATATTTGTTGCAATTAATCTATTTAATAAAATGTATAACGACAAAAATGAATAATGATAAAAGCATGTCCGGGCAAATTGCAGGGAGAGACAATGTTCCTTTTAAAATTTCATGGAATGTTTCGTGTACTGCCCCACGTTACCGTGATATTCTCCTCAGTAGCCAGGCGCAATGCATTTAGCAAAATACCACAAAGCTCCCAAATCTGTGTTTAGGCATTTATTGTGTACCAAACAATATAATTCATCGTGGATATAAAACAATACAAACTGAGGAGGATCACTAGATCATAAAAGGTAAGTATAAATCTCTCTCTCCTACATATGCTGGAATGCTGGGTTCATTGGATCACTAACCATTATTTTTTAGTGACGTGAATAGCCTGCTCTTAACCGTATATAAAGATATATTAAATATATACATCTTTACTGTTGTTTGCCATGTATAATATGTTGCTAGGGTCAAGCAGGCTTCCTTCTAAATGTATTGCCGTTTCCACAGTAATGGGTAAAAGATTACACACAAGTTGTTTTTGCAAAGAAATGCTTATTTAATGAAGACTATATGAAAGGACCCAGAAACATAGTTGGTCAAATAAATTTACAGTATATTCAAATTAACTCAGCTGGCTACTTAATAATTCTACATTTTGTTCTGTTCTCAGAAAATGATTTTAAAAGTGGGGTTTCCAACTGCCTTTGGAGATGGGAGCACACTTTTAGTATCCCAAATATAGCAACAATAAGCAAAGTTTGCCAGAGACAAACACATTAAGGGAGGTGGGTAGGGGGAGTAGGGGCATAGAAGTCATCAAAATATGTTTTGGGCTTAAACCATGTGTATTTTTCAAACATAACCGCTCCCCTGCCTGTACTCCAATTTTAATTCAAAAGCAACAAAACAAGGATTTTTCACCCAAAAAATGGATAGCTGCTGATGTCAGATATTGCACTGATGATTCTTGAAGTAACACTGTAGATATGTAAAATATTTAGCCGATTTAGCAATGGATGTCAGCCAGGGATAGGATGATTCTTGTTCTTCGAACATGTTTCCTATTATTCATTCTCATACTATTGATGAATTATTTTTCATTAATCAGCTGTGCCCAAACCAGTATGATTGAACCTGCTGTGCACAAACACCTCGAAGAGAGCACTTAACATTGTAATTTTAAAAAACCTACAACCAAGTATTCCATTTGAACTAGTTTTTTATTTTATTTTTATTTTCCAAATGATATGCATTAAAAATAAGCTCACTGAATCATTGTAAATAAAAGCTTTACATATTTTGTTGTATGTTATTTTTGAGGATCACTACACTAAGTACTGTGCTATGCAAAAAAAAATAGGTTTGTTGAGTTATTTGTAGCAATACATGCAGAACAGGACAGCTACATCATTAATCATTGTGCCCGTAATTTTAGTGCGCAGGGATTTAATGAAACCTTAAAATACTGCTGATGAGTAATGATGTGGAATGTTTTTTTTAAGGCAGAAAACATAAAACAACAATTCTGAAATATGTAGAATACGAAATGACTAGTGGGTGCCCTGCAATGTGACTTATCTAATCAATGATTTGGTATGTATCATTTAGCAATGTGAAGACAAATGGGGACATCTCTGTGCGGTGGCTGACTTCTCTATAGCACTCAATGAGAGCATACAAGAGATCAACAAGCATTCATTTAACAACTTTGAACTGCGTATTGGTAAGCATTGCTTCTATTTGTAGGTATGAAGAAACAGACACAATGTCTATTCTATCCAAACCAGGATAGCTGAATTAACTGATTATGAGAAGATACTAAGAAGGAGTATTTTGATAGATAGACAGACAGACAGACAGACAGATAGAGAGACAGAGAGACAGATAGATAGATAGATAGATAGATAGATAGATAGACAGATAGAGAGACAGATAGATAGATAAATAGATAGATAGACAGACAGACATTTAGTGATAAAATGCAAGCTTGTGTTCTTATGATAAGCATCTTTGTCATTTATTTGATTATTTGAGAATAGTTCGTCATGATTTCTAAACTTCTACTAAAACAAGGGGTAACCAGAAAAACATGGACCAGCAGTTTTCATGATATACCTTTTTGTTCCTACGCAAATGCCTAGATGTTTGGTATTGTGAATATTCCTTCCTTAATTCATTCTGTTCTGTATGACTCCTGAAAAATTCTGAATTCTAAATCCTGAACATAAATGTACCTGCCATTATTTTTCCTTCATATTGCCAATGGTCGTCTGTTCTTTACTTTATATTTAAAGTACCTATATATAGAAAAGGGGTTTTCAAACACAATTTTTCCCCACCATAACATTTTGGTTTTTGCTATATATATATATATATATATAGCAAAAACCAAAAAGTTATATATATTTATAAAGTAAAAAACAAAAAGTTATGATGGGGAAAAATTGTGATTGAAAACCCCTTATACCTGATGTCTGTGGATAGTCAATTCTATGTTAAACAGAAATCTGCACATCAGTCAAGCCATAGGACTTGCTTTTCCCACAGAAATCACAAATTTGTAGTGATGTTAGTACAGCAAAGGATTCTGGGTGGGCATATGCAAATTAGTTCAACAAAGAATCACATTTTTGCCTCATTCCATTTTAAATCTTGGATTCCTTTAAGTCTGTGTTTGCTGTATACAACAGCTTAATTTCCGTGGGAAAAGCAAGTCTTATGGCTTGACTGGTGTGCAGATTTTTGTTTAACATAGTATTGATTATATATATACAATATATATAATTGCAGTAGCATAACACATGTTGTTTCTATATTATGTTACCATCCTTTTCACATCCCCATGCTCTTTTTCCAGGGATTAGTCATGGATCAGTTGTTGCCGGAGTCATTGGGGCTAAGAAACCTCAGTATGATATTTGGGGGAAAACGGTCAATTTGGCCAGTAGAATGGACAGCACAGGCGTAAGTGGTCGAATTCAAGTGCCTGAAGATACCTATCTAATACTGAAGGAACGTGGCTTTGCTTTCGAGTATCGAGGAGAAATCTATGTAAAGGGAATTAGTGAACAGGAAGGGAAGATAAAAACATATTTTCTTCAAGGAAGAGTACAGCCAAATCCTTTAATATTACAGCCAAGAAAACCAACTGGACAATATTCATTAGCAGCTGTTGTATTAGGACTTGTGCAATCTCTTAACAGACAGAAGCAAAAGCAAATATTAAATGAAAATAACAACCCCGGAATTATGAAAGGACATTACAACCGACGGACATTATTAGCATCCAGTGGCTCTGAGGCTGTCCCTCAAATGGAGGGAGCTGATAAATCTGAATTGCCATAAAAAAAAAAAAAAAATAAGCATTTTCTTTGAGTTCGATTTTTTTGTATTTCTTTTATATATAAATACACAAATAAAAAAATGTATAATTTTTTTACAAATAGTATTATTTTCTTTTTATTAAACAGAATACGCGGAAATAAAATCGATTGAATAAATACAGGTGTCCCACACAGCAATTCACCCGCTGATCTCTCAGCCATAAATTCTCTTAAAATCCCCCCCTCCCCCCATTATTTGTCTTGCAGCTGATTATAAATAAAGTAGTACAGGTTCTGTGCTCTAGTCCAACTTTATTGTAAACTGCTGCTTGTTTCACCAGGGTTTCTCTGCTGAACCCTTTCAGTGCCAGAGAATTTTGAGAATACACTGCCTCTATCACTCTAAGGATTTAAGCACATATTTCCAGATAATCATACACTAGTTTTCCCTGCACGTAGATCATAAAAATTCTAAGTGCATTTTTCAAAAGCTTCCATTTAATAGTCGCAGATTCACACTTCAGGTTGATGTATATTTGTAGGTATTTTCATTGAATGACACCGGAGAATAGCAATTCCAAAATCATATTTTCTCCACTAGATTACAGATTTTATTCTAAACACATGGGGTTTTTTTTTGCTGCCAGAAATTCCTAATAGTATCATGGTTTCTGTGAAGTGGTTTCCATAGATGCAGAGATACACTGTCTAATAAATATAATTCAGACATCCATTTTGCAGACACTTGTAGATCTGCACCTAAGAATTTTTTTGTATTTCGATAAAGTTATTCCTATCTGTGATTCCAGTTTGAAAGCTTTATAGGCATCAGAATAAAATCACAGAATCTCTGAATGCATCTCACTTGACATAGTTAGGGGCAATTTGTTTATAATGTGTTTATAAATAGCCAATTTTCATAGCAATTAGGCTTATTTTTCCGCAGAACCAACAATAGCTGTATTCTCAACCAGTTTGCTATAACGAACAAATACATTTAAAGCTTTCGTCCGATTATGTTATTGAAATAGAAATTGGTAATTTGGCCGATAATTCAGACTTTAGTGAATGAACCTTAAAACATTTGGCCGTCACAAAGACTCCAATGCAATATACATCATCCTGAAACGATAGAGCAACTTAAAGCAAGTAGAGTTCAAATATAATAATAAAGCATTTAAGGGAGAATATTGATAACAGACGATCAATAACAATATGCTGAAATAAGGCTTTTTTTTTGTTTTTGTAAATGGCATTAATGCATGTTGTTTTCTCCTTGTGTGTGGGTGCATTTTTTCCACAAATCTATAATGTTGCACCTTCATACGCATTCCAAAGAAATGACGCATTTTTTTGTAAATGTAACCTGCATGAGAAACTTTGTCAGCCTTCAGCACATGCAAAAAACATACGCTGATGCGTTGTTTAATACGCAAAATTGTCTGTACTTATCATTCGCACACTGCACTACTGATACATTTCCAGAATTCTAAAGCGTCTATATTTATTGCAAACATTTTATGCACTACCTCTTAAGTGATTAGTCAGCAACAAACAACATCTCTCCCTTCCTTACAGAGTCATTACTTCAACTGTTTTGGCAAATTTCATACTCTTAGTGTAATATTCTCCTAACCATATCGAGTAACTATTTAAAAAAAATGTAAGCATACTATACAAGTTTTGTAATTTATAAAAAAAAAAAAATTAAGTTGTTGAGAAATGTATTTTTTTACATTTATTTTAAGGCAACATGTCATGAACAGCATTTTACATAAATATCAGCCATGTTTTAAAATATATGACCAGTCTTATAATCTTTTAAGTATTTGATCTCAGTTCCTCCAGTGCATTACTCAACTTCTAAAATAGCATTGTTCATCAATTTACATTGCATGCAATATTATCAGTAATAACAATACCTAAAAGCGAATTGAATACTTATGTTCATGCAATAAGCAACATTAAAACATTTGGCGATTTATGTATGACTGTGCTATGTGTAGAGATTTATTTTTCCTGGTAAAACCAGATAATTTTACAAAAGTTAAAGGAGTAGTCTAAACAACATAACAACTAATTCTAGTGTTTTTGATGGATTTGTACATTTAGTTCGTACTAAATTGCAGTTTGTCTAAATTTTGGGTGATTGGTGGGTCATCCAAATTTCGTACCTCCGAACCACCATATGATGCAAGTATGACTACAACGAACAGACAATGTATGCCAAAAGAGAAAGATAATTGATGGTTAGGGGACAAACACTAAATATTCATTTTATTCAGAGATTAAGTGACAAGTGGTCAATTGAGCAAAAAGGAGGTGGATTTTTTTTTTTTTTTTTTTACTGTTTTTTCCTTCTCTCCTTTATTGGGTTTTTCTTCTAACTTGATCTGTAAAACAAATCGTGGGAAATGCACCTATCGGTGTACTGCTAAATATATACACAAATTTAATATTTGCTGTCCACTGTTTGGCCCATTTTCGCCCCCGTTTGATTCCTCTGCACCATTTTTCCAAATAATTTGCATGGATGAAATTTGGACGAGCCAAACTGGGCACATGAACGATATTCCGAACACAAAAAACTACTTTCGAACTAAGTGATTTTGCCTAACTAAATTTGTCCACCGTGCACAAGTCGAATGATTAAAGTGTTCTGGTGCCACCTTTTGGATCAATGTCAAACCACTTAGGAATAGATTGGCATAAAGTTGGGCTCTTGGCACCCAGATACAACATCAGCTGCCTTAATAGTGCAGAAATAAATTCAGGCTGATTTAATGAATTAATCTTAACATATATACCTATATTCATCTGTTCATCAAAATTGGTTCTACAATTGAAGGCCTCAATTCCATTATTTTGGATAAGCTTTTCATATGCTCACAAACTGTTAGAAAAAAACGTTTCAAATGATTTATGTACAGAAGTCCAATAATGACTTCTGTCGATTTATCGTTTGAAAATGTTCTCTAACAGATTGTGATCATTTGAAAAGCTAATGCAAAAATATTAAATCAAGGCCTGATTTATTTCATACCAACTTAGCAATGAAGCAGACAGCTCCAGAATAGTTGCCTTTTTTGTGTGCATTCTTTGCAATTTACCAGTAATACCATCTAAAACATTATAGAACACCTTAAGAAAATATCCATTAGCTGAAAATGCAAGTAATGCTAGAAACTGTAAGCATTCAAATAATAATTTTAAACAATAAAATATTAGACAAAAGATAACATGCAAAAAGTATTGCCAGTCTTTAGTAAATCCCCACAATTGAGAGATAGAAAAATCTAAACCAGATTTATTGATTCCTCTAGGTCCATACAGGTAAAACTTTCTAATGTTCGACATAATATGCTGAAAAGTAAATGTGCCTCTGAGAAACAAGACAGAAACTACATTAGGACTTATACACATGTACACGTCATTTCCCTTTGGTTGTTTAGATATATCATGCAAATTATATAAATATCTATTCTTGTTTTTTTTTAATCTACTCTTTATGTTCTGACCATGCAAGTGACCTCCATGAATTCATTCTTATATCCACAGTGAATGTATGTGACCAAACATATCTTACACAAAACAGAGAACCATAACGGTGATTGTTCTTCTCTCTCCAATAAATGAGGCAACCAGAGATTTATGTTGATTGTTCTCATAATTTGAAGCTTCTCCTGCAATAGATTGTCCCCTGTTCTGTATCGTAATAAATATACAAGGCATGATCATGCAAATAATATTTTAGCTTTATCTACAGATTACAGTTTTATAAAGGAGGTTGAAATCTACATGAATATGAACAATTTTCACGTTGTGTATGACTATTTACTACGTGGATCCCCATGATGGTGATCATACCCCTCTTTTTGGCATAATGCCCAGTTACACAGTTATAACATATTGTACCATTGAAAGTCAACAAATATAATTTGCAGGACACTACAGAGAAGTTCAATTGTATTTGTCTCTATAACAATGTAATGCAATGCAATGATAGAAATATGTTTTGATGACATCACTGAAATGCTTTAAGACTTTGTAGCTGTCACTTACCACTTACTATGAGAATTCTGGTGCCAAGCTACCTCGGCAAATACTTTGTTGTTTCGCAATCTTGAGCACATTTTGCTTGTTTCTTACAGAATAGACAGGTTTGTTTGTCTACCCTTCTCTTTCTCTGTGCCTTTCATTCTCCTACTGGCTGTTTGAGAGAGGTAACCGCATGTTTATAATAAGGATAAAAATATATATTCCAGATCATGAATTAATAGCCAGGAGATACCCGATGAATTCCCCAGTTTGCAGGAGATAAACAGTTTAAGGATTAGGAGCCAGAGGACATAAATAGTAATGAAAGTTGTGAACTAAAAACTTTATATTTTCTGCCTTGTGTCTTTAATCCCAAATCACTAGTGTGCATAGTACATACAATAACACAAATGTTTTATATATATATATATATATATATATACATACAAAGTAAAGACAGGAGCACTCACTCGGTTTTTCCAATTATATTCAAAACTTTTACAATTTATACATCAACGTTTCGACCCTCCAGGGTCCCTATCAATGATCATGATAGAGACCCTGTAGGTTCGAGACATTGATGTATAGATTGTGAAAGTTTTGAATATATTTAGAAAAACCAAGTGAGTGCTCCTGTCTTTACTTTGTTTATATCTCGCTGGGAAGCACCCAGGTACATCATATTTCATTATACATTTTTGGGGGGTTGGGACATTTATATATATATATATATATATATATATATATATATATATATATATATATATAAAACAAATAATTCTGCACTCTCTGCAATTTTTCCTTATTGCCCGGTTCTTGTCAGCATAACATTAAAACAGTAATAGGATAGCACTCCCAGGTCTTCATTTAAAATAAAATATAACTTTTATTTGCTCAAAAGTAAAAAAAAAATCTGCGTTTCCATCTGTATCCACCGACTTTCATCAGGTCAATTCAGATTATCCTGATGAAAGTCTGGGGGTACAGACTGAAACGTTGATATGTACATAGAGAGAGAGAAAGAGAGAGAGTACAGATTGTACTCATATTAATCCAGTGATGCAGATGTAAAATGCTATAGACTTGAGAAAGGGAGGTTCTCCTGAAAGGCTGTCATTCCAAAATTCTGTTAGTCCAATAAAAAGGTATTACAATATACGAACTGTATCTGTTATTTTACACACACACACACACACACACACACACACACACACACACACACATATATATATATATAACAATGTGTTTAAACAAACTCATGTGGTAGAAAATAGTGTATACTGTGAAGGTTATTCACTGAAGTTAGAATTCAAGGTAAATTCAAAGAGAATTTATAATTTAAGATGAAAATAGACAAACTGTACAAATTCACTCACTCACTATAATTTGAGTCAGGTCTTAAATTTGAAATTTGAAAAGTCCCTTTGAATTAACTATAAATGCTCACTTTGGTAAAAAAAAACCCTGTATCAATACAATTATCATTGTTTTCTTAAAATATGTCAGCTGTGTAATTATATTACAATAAATGGTATCAAACGATCTCTTCTGAGGTATTGACCCATTAAAGACATTTAAATTAAATTAAAAGCTAGATACACCTGTAGACTGTAAGCTATTCTGATCAGGGTCCTCACTAACCTATTGTTCCTGTAACGTTTGTAATCGTCTTGTGTCTTGTTTCTCCCCTTTATAATATTGAATATTGTAAAGCACTGCGGAATAAGTTGGCGCTAATGAAATGCCAGTAATAATAATAATAACTGGAACATTTATATATTTATTTATTGATACATTATTTACGAGGAAGGATATATTAAGATTTGCATTTCGAAAGAAAACTAAAATACTCAAATGCAAAAACCAGACCACTCTGCAGAGTATCCATCCTAGCAGAAAATAAGTGAAAAAACTACTACTAATAATGCGTGTTCTCTTTGTAAATAGCTATCATTCTTGACTCAATGTCAAACAGATACTGATTAATACAACGTCACTAGTTTGGATATAAATCTCAGTATCAACATCAGGTTTTTTTTTATTTAGTTCTCTGGAGAAAGCCAAAGCGACACATATTGTCTGTGACAGTGCATTGAAATTAGCGTGGATTGTGTAGAAGGTGGCATTGTACCAGGCACTGATTGGGGTATTTAGTGGATTGACATCCTACATGTGGAACTGAAATGGGATCGGATATTTCTGTTACTGTTTCACCTTCATCTGTAACAATTCAGTGAAAATGTTAATTTTTTTTAACATATAATTAACATTCCCTTTTCTGTGTGAACGTATGACAAACGCTCCATCAATATGTAGATTCGTACATTCTAGTAAGCAAACAGCAAACAAAAGGGATGCCAAAACAATATATATACAATTCACCAACTGCAGAAAAAGTGTGTAAGGCTGTAAGATATTTCATGTTAAACCTTCATTGTAGAACTTTACTAAAATTAAATAAAAAATGAAAACCATACGAAAAAAATATGAAAAAAATTATAACATAGGAAGAAAATTAAAAGGCAATGAAAAATTTACATCTAATATAAAATAGTGCATAGTGAAGGATCACTCCAGGCCCCATAAATACTTCATCTCAAGTGAGTTATTATGGGGTCTAGAGGTCACGGGCACAAACTTCCATTATGGGGTTAAACTGTCTTGTAGTGGCTTAACTCCAAAGTTCTCGCATGGCCCCTCTGCCTCTTCCGACCCTGGCAATAATGTGAGAGCAGTATCTGGCACTTTATATATATAAGCTGAAAATATAAGAGGCATATATACTTAAGTTCCTATTCTACCTCAACGTTCCAGGAATTTTAATATAATTATTTAATAATGTCATTCAGATAGGTGCAGGGCATGCTGAAACAAGGTGTTGCTGTGTTTGTTATTATTACTTATACTATGTTCTGCTAAGAGCTCCTGTATTATCTGTTATTAATCCCTTGGTCTGTTCTTTTGGGTAATATTTCAGGGCAACAAGGTAAGTACTTTGTTTAAAGACTTATGGGCCTATAGCATAAGGCATCTCCCAATATTGTGATTACCTACGTTTTAAATGAGAAAATGAACTGGGATATTGACTTATAAACAATTTTTTTCCTCTTCAATTTAAAATTTACCTGAAAAAATATTTACAAAATGTTTATTACTTACACAATTTTTTTGGATAAGCTGATAATAAATTGTCAGAAAATGTATTGTAGATAAAAACAGATGGTTAGCAAAATAACTAATGAACTGCATAATCAAAGCAATGATCCTAATAAATAAACAGACTTAATATAGATTAGGAAAATCGGGTTAATTTGTGCTCCGGGTTCCAAAATTTCAAGGTGATAAAGTCAACATGCAGCTAAAAGCTTGTACAATAAAAACAGAAACAAAATGCTCTTCTCAAACTAAAACAGCACACATATAGAATAAAATATATAATTTAAGAAAGAAAAGGTCAAAATTCCAAATTCTATATCTCACACCGAAATATATATTCAGTGATGTCATCAAACTATAACAATAGATGGGGTTCACTGTCCTGCTGTTGAAATAACTAACATTTTCATTTATTAGAATAACAGATTGTACATTGCAAGGCTATCAAGTACAAAATAAAAGTTGTAAAATATATTTTAAGTTTAAGCTAGAATTTCTCCAAGACCAGTAGTAACCCGTGGGACGTTGTTTGCATCGGATTATACACCTACATGCCTTGCCTGACCATTTCATCTAATCTAGAATGCAATGAAGTTGAAGGATTAAATTTGCTATAGTGTGGACACAGGAGGGAGTGCAATGTCACTTTCAAGATGATTAACATTGGTAATGGTTCCATAATAATTACCTTTCACACTTTATGCAGTGTATTTCGCAGTGGCCTTATGTATATTCTTTATGAAATATTCTGTATAAAAATGTATTGTATGAAAACACCCACGGAATAAAATTATGTTTCCTGCTTGAATGTTGGCTGTTTATTAAATTAGATACGGCTGATTTTTTACCCAATCGAACTGGGAATGAGAACACTTCGCTTCACACTTTTCTTGTTTGTTTTTCGAGGGGTGGGAGTGTGGGGTTAACAAAATGTAGCCACTTCCACCAGGCCACAAACGTAATTTATTAAAGCTCACACGAGAATTAATTTTATATTCCCCATGATTATTATTATTAGGAATATGATACATAAAATATCAATCTATACTTTTAGTATAGGAAGGAAGCTACTTTCCTTTTGTAATCATTACGGTTCCCAACCCCATTGTAAGGAGTCAAATCATTTTTGAACTGTTTGTTTTCTTATCTGGGGTCCATCAGGCTCTGCTCCCCACCTTTACTACCATCTCCTTAGAGCTAGACGTTCCCCAGAAGGAGCTTCCATCAGCGGTCCTGAGCCAAGAGCAGTCAGCTGGTCGTACTTCTTGCTGAGACATTTCCTATTTTCCAGAGATAGTAAGTAGAGGTGGGGAGTGACCCAGCAAATCCCATGTAAGCAGTCAATCTGTTCAAAAATGGTTTGATAGATTACAATAGGGGGGGGGGGGAAGGGCAAGGGAACTCCTGGTACCATAACCACTATAGTGAGCTGTACTTGTTATGATGCTTGGAGTGTTGCTTTCATTTCTATGTTTAAAGTAGAGTTAGATAACATTTTTATTAGTGATTCCATTTGGTGAACATTCCAAACAGTATGCGTATCTGGTAAAAAAAAAAAAAAGTTATCATTACTGTACAGCTTTAATATACAATCCCATATACTGGGAAAGTCATAAAGGTGGCAGGTTAAGAGAATGAGGTGGGCTGGGGTGCCACCATTATGCTATAAGAGAAGTGGCAGGAATATTTAACAAACACAAATTACCCAGAGATGCTATTTACTTGCCTACAAAGATATGTTTTAAGAGACTTTTTAAAGGATTGATGATTAGGGAAGTATCTGATGGGGCTATGTAGGCTTTTCCATTTTAACTGTGCCATCACTGACAAATCCTGTTGATAAGAATTAGAACTGCGAGTGCAAACAGCAGATAGGAGAAGTCCACCAGTTGTGTGGAGAGACCAAGAATAAGTTCACCTATGAATACATGAAAACATGTAATGGGTGGGTAGAGTTCTTAAGAGCTTTGTATACAAGTGTGAGTATCTTGAACTGAATCCTAAAGGGTACATGAAGCCAATTTAACAATTAGAAAGGGTCGTGGTGTAAGAAGAACAATGAGAAAATAAGCCCAACATCATTCATTATAGACTGTAGAGAGGCAGCAAAGGTTCTGGAGTCACCAATTAGGGGTGCATTTTAGTAATTGGAGCAGGATAAAAAAGAGCATGAACAAGCATCTTCATGGCATCTTATCTAAAAAAGGGGGAAATGTGAACAATATTTTTAAGTGACAGGATTTGGTGGCAGACGGGACATGAAGTGTAAAAATAAAGACTGAGTCACAAGTAACACCTAGGCAGTGAGTTTGTAAGGATGGATAGATTGGAGTACCATCAACTTGCAGGGAGAGCAACAGCAGAGGATGAGTTTTATGAGGAGGGATGATAACAATCTCAATCTGATAAAGATTATGTTTTAGAAAGTGGGAAGGCATCCAGTTGGGACAGAAGATGGATAGTTGGTGGCACCTTTTTAAAGAGTGAGAGAGATCAAGAGAAGAATGTTAGAAACATATAAGTGGGGTATCTGTGTGTCATCAGCGTATAATTGGGGTATCTAGGTGTCACCGGTGTATACTAGGTACTGGCATCATAATGAACTAATTTGTTGGCCAAGAGAGCTAGTATAGAGATAAAAAAAGAGAAAATGGCCCAGGATATATCCTTGTGGAACGCCTACAACAACAGATTGAGATGAAGAGGTGTTACCAGAAAAGGATATGCTAAAAATAGGGAGATTATCTATAAGACCCAGCAAGTAACTGGTTGCATAATTGTCATGCAATAAATCTCATGCAATTCAGTTCCTTATTTTGTTGCTTTCACTGGTTCTATGGTGATTGCCACACTTTTAGTATTTGCACAATTTTGTGGAACACAACAATATCTTCTACTCTTTTATCACCAATTAGGTATATGCATCGTATGCAAAAAAGATCAATGATTTCTGTTTTATAAAACATAATGCTGTTTAGTGTTTAAACTCTATGTACATCGTCTCTAATATAATTTTTACCTCAATTCATGGAATCACCCAAAGGCAGCAGAATTAATCTAGAGGCAGCGCCATCTTAACAGCATTATGGGCCCCCGGGCAAAGTAGTGCACTGGGGCCCTGCCTACACAACAACTAACAGGAATAAAAATGTAAATTATTGATACAATTAAGTTTTTATTTATTGGTACCTCCAACAAATGCAATAGACACATACAATACATACACACAGACTGCTGAATACATGCACACACAGACTGCTGAGTACATGCAGACAGACTGCTAAATACACACACACACACTGCTGAAAACACACAGGCTGCTGAATACACACAGACAGGCTGTTAAATACACACAGACTGCATTGAGGGGTGCAGTGTATGTGTTTGTGTGGAGGGTGCTGTATGTGTGAGGGTGCTATGTGTGAGGGGTGCTGTGTGTGTGAAGGGTGCTGTAAGTGAGGGCTGCTGTGTGTGTGTGAGAGGTGTTGTGTGTATGAGAGGTGCTGTGTGCATGTGAGTGAGGGGTGCTATGTTTTTGGGGTGATGTGTGTGTGAAGAGTGCTGTGTGTTGGTGGTGAGGTGCTGTGTGTATGGAGGTGCTGTGTGTATGTGTGTGAGGGAGGCTGTGTGTTGGAGTGATGTGTGTGTGAAGAGTGCTGTGTGTGTGTGAAGAGTGCTGTGTGTGAGAGAGGTGCTATGTGTGAGGGTTCTGTGTGTGAGAGAGATGCTGTGTGTGAGAGAGGTGCTGTGTTTGTAAAGGGTGCTGTATGTCAGAGGTGCTGTGTGTGAGTTGTGCTGTGTGTGTGTGTGTGAAGGGTTCTGTGTGTGTGAGAGGTGCTGTGTGTGAGAGCTGTTGTGTGTGAGGGGTGCTGTGTGTGTGTGAAGGATTCTGTGTGTGTGAAGGGTTCTGTGTGTGTGAGGCACTGTGTGTGAGGGGTGAGTGGTGTGTGTGTTGCAGGTGAACTATGATCTATAGCCTGCAGCTCCTCTGGCTGAAGGCTATCTTCACTCCTCCCGAGCTGAGCGCTGCGTGGAGCGTTGCCATGGCAACGCGCGGCAGCGCTCCACACAGCCTGCCCACAGGAGGAGCAATCTCCTCCCTGGTCCCTCCCCGTGCTTCTGGGTCCTCCTGCCATCTCTCCCCTCTAACGAAGGGCCTTTGGGCTGATAGGGGAGATCTTTGATCTCACCAGGCTCACAGCAAAAAAGCCGGGCCGGCACTCCATGAGCTGGCAGGAGAGATCTAAAGATCAAAAGGCAACTGCCCAGCGTGCCCATGGAGAAAGACGGCCCTAGAAGGCATTAACAACATCTGCAATTCAGACAATGCCGACCTGCTGCGTGGCTGTCCAAGCACTGCTAGAACAATTCAACAAATAACAGAGGATTAACTACATAAGTCTAGAAAGTCTAGAAAGTCAAACCTTTGATTGTCACAAGCTAAAAAGCATCTACAAAGACATTGAGGGCTTTCAACAATACAAGTATCTCCATATCTGCACAAGCGAACTATGGGATCAGAATGAGCAGTATAATCCCAATTCCCCCAGTAACCGGACGATACACAGTTCTGGGAGTCAAATGTTTAATGGAAGCCACACACAGCCTTTTATGTGTGTCCTCATGTAAGGGGTTTACTTTAATACATTCGAGGGGCATTACCCAGGGGACAGTGACAAAGTACACAACATAATTACATTACCTCTCAGTTTCAGGACATATACATTAATAAACACCCTAAAACACCCCTTTTACAATATGGTACCCCCTCAAGTACTATATCCTCTGGAAGCCTAGATCTGAGCGCCCAACATATCTCGAAAGCACTCAGATTCCACGAACGTAACCGTAACGCCGTTACAGTTTAGACCGACCACACACGAGGCACTGTCGTCTGTCTGTCTCTTTCGGAAGTACGAAACACAATAAAATAACAAATGTAACCATTCATATATTAGTTGATTGTGTGCCCCTCATTCGGGAGTTTGTTCTCCATGAATGCCACTCTTCTCAGGTGAATGGTCTGATTATAGTTCCTTGCGCTCGACGACCAAACACCACTGTATGTGTTCGCAGCTAAAGATGGCCGCCACCATGTGTACAGTCACATGAACGGCGGCCTCCCAGCCGACCGCCTAGAACCTTGCGGTTTCTAAGTGTGAAGAAGGTTAATAGGGTCAACTGGCAGCACACAACTCCTCTGTGTAGTCTAACTGTTCGGGAGTTTGTTCAGTATACGGACAATATAGGTATAACATGTTCCTGATTTAGCAAACAGAGCTCCATTCTATCAACAAACAGAGCTGACAGGTAAAGTAAGATTTATTTTTTATTTTATTTACATTGTGTTTATTGGCTTTCTGTATGATTTTGAGCATTTAAGGTATTATTAAATTGTAAAACGTGTGTTAACAAATCGATTCTCAAACAGCCTTCTGTTCCGAGGTTCCACTGTACCGTACAACTGCTGTGTTCACTAGCATTTCGGCCACTAGAAGTACACAGTATATTTTTGCATTAGTACGAGTCAACTTATCCTATGGCTGACTAATGCTGATAGAACCCTTACAAATGTATATTTTTTACAGTTTTTGATTTAAATTGTGACAATCCTTATATTACCCTTTGTTGGATTGCTTGTCAAGAGTCCTAACGTCTCATAAAAAGTGGTATTTGCATTTTGTGTGCTTTTTTTTATATTGTGCAGACTTTAAATATTTTAAATGCTATCGTGATAGCAAAAAAAAAAAAAAAAAACGCACACACTTAACTTGT